ACCTGTAGTCTCCTGGTTCCTCAAATCAGCCAGCAGGCTTTAGTAGTACCTTTCTCCTGGGGATGGAGCAGACATGGAGGACAGGAATGGATTAATGGATTACCGACCTAGTAAGGAAAAGGTCCAGACAGTAGAGGATTGGTGCATCTTGCATAGTCAGTAATAGGGGTAAGGAAAGGGAGTGTCCTTATGACCAAGGACACCTAGACCAAAGTTAGATTTAACTAGCATCCTCATGAGTCCAATATGTTTTTAACTTATTCAATGGTGAGCTAAACCTAATCCCCTAGTCTCTTCCTGTGATAGGATTTGGAAGCAAGAAAGGTCACCTCCTTCCTACAACAATCTATTTGTTACAGTTACAGTTTTACAGGGTCTCAATTAGGTAGCCCTGGCTGGCCTGGAACTCACTCTGTAGACCAGGCTGGCCTTGAACATACAAATATGGTTTTGCCTCTGCCTCCCTAGGGCTAGGATTTGAGGTGTGGGCTATTATGCCCAGTTTTACTGTTCATAATCTTAAATGATGTTTTAGAAATGCCTTGAAAACAGATACCAAAGCAGAAACCCAGGGACCCACTGGAGTCCTGCTTGCCGCATTGGCAGCTCTGCCATAACCTCTGAAGTTCTCGGGTGTTCTGCATTGCAGCTACTACTTCTACAAAGCCATCCAATGAGTGTGTCCAGCATTCACAGACTGGGCAGCACCAGATCACAGTGGCTGAGTGGCAGTGGGCTCCAGAGTCTAAGGTCACAAGTACCAATCACAAGCTTCTGGATAATTTTCAGGCATCAGTACTTGGGCACTGCTCTGTCCATCACGTCCACAACTAGTCTCCCTCCATGCCTTTCCTGGGGTTGGTTGGTTTCCTTTCTTGACATAGGTAGAATTCTCCCCTGTTCTCTGATGCCTGTCTCTTCTAGTAGAAGACAACAAAACTAACCCATGTAGAATGTTGATCTTAGTTGGAAAGCTTTCCCACCATTGGTCTCTGTATCCTCATAATGGCTCCAAAGGACTGAAAGAACCTCTACTTAGAGGAACAATGGATGGAGGCACAGAGAACACATGGCTAGTCCCATCCTGGAACTCAGCACCTACTCTTCCCATGCTCTACCCATGCAGCTTCATGTCTATGTGCTGACCCGTCCTCCAGCTGTAGCTGCTACCATGATGCTGCAGTGATGTTTTCCGGCTTAGGAAAAGGGACATAGCTCATGAAATCCCAAGGGAAGTACATAGAGTCCCTCTTTCTATATAACAAGTCTTATTTTATAGTAGTGAGTGTCCTAAGTAATCCCTGTCTCAGTCAATTCTTAGAAAAGGTCTATTACAAAACGTGTTCGTGTTGTGTACGTGTGTGTGAGGGTGCACATGTATGTGGAGGTCAGAGCTCAGTGGTAGGTATCTTCCTCAGTTGCTTTCTGCCTTGAGACAAGTTCCTTCAATGAACCTGGTGCTCACCAGTTAGCTAGACTGGCTAGTGAACCCCAGGGATCTATTTGTCTCCATCCCCTAGCTCCCCACCCTAGGGATCATGGGTACACACCACTGTACCCTCAGTTTTACATGGGTACTGGGGTCCAAAATCAGGTCCTGCTTGTGTATCAAGTACTTTAGTCATTGAACCCTCTCCCCTACCCTTTGAAAAGGATTACTGCTTTGAAAATTCCTGTGCCATTCTCTCTGGAAAGCTTCACCACGCCTTTTCCTATCCAGTAAAGCACCACTTTAGTGTACCCTCCCAATGCTGATCCCCAACACACGGACAGACAGACAGACACACGGAGGCACATATACAACAGACATACACACACACAAACACACAGACATGCACACAAACACACAGACACACAGACATATACACAGATACATAGACACACAGATACACAGACACAGACATACAGAGAACACATACACACAGAGACAAAGACACACACACCATTCTACCTAACTGCCTCCATGGTCCCCCAGGGTTAGGAAGGCAAACACAAGGTGTTTTTCCCAATGCTATCTACTAGCATGTTTTCCATTGGCCTATTTAACCTTACAAAAACCTCAGCTCAAAGCTGCCCAACCAGGAAGTCGATGTGATAGTTGTTAGTCACCTCCAGCGAGCCACTTAAGCATTTTCCCCTAAGTCCATCTGGTAGGTAGGACCTAAGATCATCTCTCTGGATTCTGGCTGCAAAGTAGCCTTGAAATTGTAGTTTTTTCTCTTTCCAACTGATCTATGTTTTTTCTGTGTAGTTCTTAGCAGACAAGGGTCCAGTTCCCAACACTGACATCCCTGCACAGGCCAGTCCTACCAGTTTCATGCTGTAATTGCAGTTTCATGTATGTATGTGTGTGGGGGTATGCAGTATATATGTGTATGTGTGTGTGGGGGGTATCTATAGGCAATGTCTGTTTGCCTGCTTGTGAGTATGTGTATATATACAGTGTGTTTGTGTGTAGGTCAGAGGTCAACACTGCACGTATTCAATTGCTCTCTATCTTTTGAGTCAAGGTGTCTCACTAAATCAGAGCTCATCCATTGGGTAGACTGGCTAGCCAGTGCTGTTTCCGTTCCCTCGGTGCTAAGTCACAAATCACACCCACCCTTTACATGGTGCTGCGGATCTGAACTCAGGTTCTCATGCCTTGTGGCAGGCTCTTCATGGACAGCCATTTCCTCAGCTGCCCATTGAAGGGCCAGGTGTCTCCGGAACATGGCTAAACATGGATCAAGCATGCAGAAGTATTACCCAAATCATCTTTTCTTCTAGCATTAGGTGTTTTGCTTCTTAAGAGGCTGGACCCTCGTCTACCAGCAACTCTTTGTCCTTAGGAAAAGGCTTATCGGGGTTCACAGCGGCAAAGGCCTCCACCACCAGTGAGTAGAGTCTCTGTCTAGTCCATGTCACCTGTCCACAGAGGTCAGATACGCATGAGGCTGACCAGGGCTCCGCCTTCACACCTGCTCCAATGCGGCAACCTGCACACTTGCTCCTTTAAATCAGGGGCATCTTGTTCACATTCCTACTGCACTAGCCAGAGCAGTTGCACAACCCACCTAACTTTAAAGGGGAAGCTCAAATTAGGAGGGCACACTCTTACCGCTCAGCTGACCATATTTTTCCTCCTCTGTGACCATATTTTTCTTTTCTTCCATGCACTGGAGATACTGATAAAATTTTCACTTAAAATTTTTCACTTGTTTTCTCATGGGAAAACAAGCTAGCAGGGTCCCTGGAGGCAAAATTCTCATCATGCTTTGCAGTGTTTCTAAGTCTGCTATGATCTGGCCTGGAAACACTGTCTAGGTTTGGATAAAAATTCTGCCTATCATCCTTGGATTAGGAGGGAAGGACAGAGGCCCAAGAGTCTGGCTCCAGAACTTTTTCTGGGTTCATTGTAAGCATTTCCAAAGAAGGACAGCATTCCTGGGTTCCATTGGAATACTGGGTGAGTAGGACCTATTAATCATCTCCTGAACCTGGCTGTAAGGAAACCTGGGAACCGCAGTTTCTCTTTCCAACCGATACACCTGCCCGTGTAACTCTAGGCACCAGTGCCCAGTTCCCAATTTCTCTACTCCGCAGGTGTCTGCCCTCACCCTAGGCTCTCTGTGATTTCCACCTTTGCTCTGTCTTGAAGGCATTTCTGACTCCTTCGAGTTCCCATATTGCCTGAATCTCTCCCTACACGCCCTCTCTGTTATCAGTGTTTTGTAAGTACCACACTTCTCCACTAGGATGTGAGCTTTTGGACACTCTAGAAGTTGTTTAGATTCATCTAAAACAGACCCGACCACACACGTGAACTTTATTACGTAGTTCCAAATGATTCAAAGAATAAATCTCTAGGATTTTCCCAAGAGTCTTTCTGTGGGGAGTGCTTAGGACCTCTCAAGTGAAAGATGGTTCATGGATGGATGGACAGACGACAGAATAGTTTGAGTATGCACAGAGGCCAGTTAGTATTTCACAGGGAGAATGAACAAGTTTATTCTCCTCAGAGAGTTCTTGATGAACAAACTCACACATTCTAGTTCTTGGAAGGGAGGGAACCAGATGAGAGTGGGGATGACTCAGAGAAACCTCTCGCCAGTCTGTGAAGAGAGGCCCACACCTTACTGTGGTGGGCAACTCACCTAGGTGCACAAGTATGTAACTATATTTTGGTCAGGATTTAACTCTTTGGTACAGAGGAAGCTTCACTGGGCCAGGATTGTGGGATGTTTCTGCACCACTGGCAATCTTCAGGGTCTAAGCTAATTGTACGGGAAAAAGGTGTAGAGGATTTTGTAAATGCCATGACCACTCTGTGTCTTTGTTTCTCATGTGAAATGTCCCTTTGGATGAGGCGGAACCACTGCAAACCCTCAGGTCCTGCAAGGGATCAGCAAGTCACAACAGCTAGAGCCAGAGGGGTACAGCCCAAGTGAGAAGAACTCACCCCCCCACCATCACCACATTGAGAGGAGACCCAAGTACCACCTCCTCCTTCCAGATGGCAGAGGAGAATAAATGGAACTCCCTTTGTACCTTCTGGATTCTTTTGGGTGTTCTTGAAGACAAGATGGTATATGAGGAATAGAGGAGGACAGGAAATATGGTATGAGCATCATACACGGTGGCATGAGACTCACACACTCCATTTCATATGAACTAAAAAAGACTTCACTTTCTACTTTCTTATATCACCTCCAGCTCAACACAACATATAGGGGAATGGTTCACCTGTTGGGTACACTGGGGCTGTCTTCTGAGTTGAGATCTCTCTGTCTTAGCCATCCTCTACTATTGACTCAAGAGAAGAAAAAGTTTGCTGAAGCAAACATCTCCACTCCAGAAAAGCAAGAAACAGTGGCCCTGGTAGCTTCATGTAAGTGAGTCCAAGAGAAGGTATTCCATTCCTGACCTCTGAGTGGATTAACTACTTTGTTCCAAAGTTGCCAGTAGATGCCCCATGTCAGAATCTAGTGCTATGCAATGATGCTCAGTTGCCAGGAGGGTACCAAAGGATAAATGTGTTGTATTCACATGAATCCTAATGACAAACACACTGCGGTTATAAGCACATTGTAGATACACAGAACAGTCTCTATATAGTCTGAACATAGATACAAAATAAGTTACAGTTGCTTTGTTTTCCATCACAGTAGGAGTGTAGCAGACAGTCACTGGGTCAGTGGCCAGGGATCAAGCCAAGGAAAAGGCCAAGAGGAGGATGGAGGGCACTGATTACAGTGGGGATTTTTGCCAAGAACACTGAAACTCTACAGAGAACAAGGTCCCAGTCCTCTCAAGATGGTCTTCTGAGAACTAGCACAGAGTCCTGCTTGGTGACATCCAGTGGCTGAATTTGAGCTGGGGTGCTCAAGGTGAAGGGATGGGAGGCTCAGCAGGAATAGGCACAAACAGCATCTAGCAGGTCAGCCCACTCTCCTGATGGCTTGGTCGGACTTCTGTGATGTTGGGAACATGAGGCACAGGGCCAGAAGGCACAGTTTGCTTCTAGGAGGTGACAGATGGCCAGACTGATGGCCCACCAAATGCTGGCGAGCGCTTTTCCTTTGCCTGGATACTCTGGGAGGCTGTGTGAGAAGTTGTGTGTTCAGATGGTGCTGTGCTCTGTCACCAGATAGCAACATTGGGACCGTTATCCATCACAGAACAGGGACAAATGGAGGATCAGAATCCTCTCTCTTTGGGACCTCGGGAGTTTGGGAAAGTCACCTGAACTACTGAGTCTCTGGCTCCTCACCTGACAAATAGAGAATAGGGGTGATGTATACTTGCCTAGGGCATTAGTGAAGACCTCAGGGACCAACATGTATAAAGTGCCTAACACTGCTCCTGCCACCCGGGGGGGGGGGCATGGTATATATAAAGAAACTGAGTATCCAGACAGCCTGGGCCTAATACACCCATGAACTACAAACATCCTGTCCATGAAGACCACAGGGCATCTTCCTTGTGCTTTTCTACCAAGGTTTTCCCTTTCTCTCCATATCTGGGATTCTTGAAGACAAAATGGCAGACAGAGTTCAATTAAGTTCAAGTTTGTTGAAGAAGATAGAGTTTTCTGTTTAGAAAGATAAAAAGAACATGGGCCAGTGTGTCTCTTCAGGTCTGGGATGTAGTGCCCTAAGGAGGTTTCTCCATTTGATTATCCTCCCCCAGCCTCTCCTTTCCCTCACAGCTCCTAGCCCCTGAGTAAATTTCTAATTAAGAAGCCAAAGAAGAAAAATAAAAGCACAGAAAAGAAAGCAAATTGTCTGTTCCACAGAAAGCCTTTTCCATCTGCTCAGAGCCCAAGTGTGGAGGCACTAGGGGTAGGGTGGCTTGGGCCATCTGTGGGCCAGTCAACTGCCTCATGTCTCTGGGGAATGGGAGAGAGAGGGGAAGTTTGGAGATGCAGGCTTTTATCCTGGGATAGAGGAGGTACAGCTGCCCTTCTTCCAACCCTGGGAACTTGGAAGTGTCCAAACAAGGATGAACCCTTCTCATCTATATATCAAGTCGCACGGGTGTGTGTGTGTGTGTGTGTGTGTGTGTGTGTGTGTGTGTGTGTCTATGGTCATCATGCCCCTTCTCTCTTCTAACATTGCCTATCTGGTTACCTGGATCTGTCACTCAGATACTTTTCTCTTAGACGGAGGGAGGAGATGGGCAGGCAGCTCATTGGGCAATTCATGCCCCTCCAGCTTGACTTTGATAAGGTGGTTGGCCAGGGCAAACTCCTCATCATCCAACATGCCATCCTTGTCGATGTCGGCTAGTTTCCAGATCTTGCCCAGCACACTATTGGGCAGCTTGGAGCGTACCATCTCTTTTTTGGCATTGGCACCCGTGATCTTGCCATCCACTGGAGACAGGGTATAGAAGATCTCGTCGTACATAGGCTTGTCTCGGGCCACCACCCACTCAGCATCATCAATACCTTCCCCGGCCCCCTCTCCATAGCCATGCCCGAAAGGGCCTTGCAGGGTTCCCTCGAATGCTCCGCCTTTCACCATCTGGACAGGTCGCTGGGTCTCTTCCTGGCGCACCAGCACCATGAGCTGGGCAATGTCGTGTGCCAGCATGTCATCTACAACCTCCAGCAGCTTGCTCTTCAATGGCTGGAATTTGCTGAAGTCCTGGGCCTGCAGCTGGTCCTGGGAAGAGAAGGAAAAAGGAGGGAGTAGAATACAAAGGAAGATTTTCCACATCAGGGAAGGTGCTTCCTACTAACTCTAGAATGCTTGCCCAGTTCTTTCTGGTGAAGGCAGTGAGGCCAAAGGACTGTGTGAAGAGATGAGAAGCAAGAGCTGAGGAACAAGTGTTGGTTTGTTTATTTACATCTCTTTAAATATTATTACAAAAGGTAACTCTTATATTCCTTCCAAAGTAAGTTTTGGCTGTCAAATGGTGACTCTTGAAGGTGGTGGCCCTCTGAGAAGGAGTCCTGTGGATCTCTAGGACAGCTTATGATTTAAAAACGCACAGCAAAGTGCTTTCATTACCTGCTTACTAGTTCACTCTCCTCAGTGCCCTGGGAGGTGGAGAAGTCATACACTATTCATATTTAGTGAGAGGGTCAAGGTAATGGGGATTGAAAATTAGGCAACTATAACCACAACAAAAGCCAAAGGTCACTCCCAGCTTTACTGTTCTCAATTAGGATACTCAGTGGAATTGCCTGGTGAGATGTCTCAAAAGTTTGGACCCCTACCAGCATTCTGACCTAGTAGGCACTGGCAGGCATGTTGACTTTACAAAAGCTGGTCCCCTTGCCAGGGCTACCAGCCCACATCATAAAAGAAAGATGCTCTCCTTTCAAGACCTTTGCATGGAGACAGCAAGATGGGCACATGGTACTGAGGAAAGGTACCATCATGTGGCAGAGTGTAAATAAGGATTATGGGTTAACTTAAAATGTAAGAGTTAGCTAATAATAAACCTGAGCTATTGGTTGAGCATTTATAAGTAACATTGAGCCTCTGTGTGGTAATTTGGGGAGCAGCTGCTGGGTATTGTGATTGAGCAGCTCCTTGACAAGAAAGTTCTGCCAACACCTTTACAGTCTTGAAAGGCCCTCAACATAGAACATCCAATTTTTACTTGCTTCTTGTTCAGTAGTTCTTAACCTTCTTGATGCTGTAACCCTTTAACACTGCTCCTCAATATGTGGTGACCCCCCCACATAATATCATTTTTATTGCTACTTCAAAACTATAATTTTGCTACTGTAATGAATAGTAATATAAACATATGTGTTTTGGGGTGGTCTAAGGTGACCCCAGGGGAAGGGTTGGTCCATTACAAAAAGGTTGCAACCCACAAGTTGAGAACTATTGTTCTAGGAGGACACAGCTGCCCACTGCTGCCCTGATCTGGCCACAGCAATCTCATTGTGTGGGTAGGGGAAGAGGCCAGGAAACAAGGATTGGCATGTGGAGTCCACTGCAGAAAACTTAAAGGATATCCACAGCTACAGTCAAGGGCAAGGCTGGCAGGACACTTCTCACCTCCTCTCTAGGGCTGGGTGACGAAGAAGGGCTATGGAGAGTAGAACAGGGCTCTATGCTAAGGATCTTGCAGACAAGATATTTCACTGGGTTCCCAGAACTCGTGTACAAACCCCTCTGCATCCCCTGTTTCGAGCTGACACAAAGGTTCAGTATGCATCTAGTCTTTGTGGTATGGTGGCTTCTTGCTTGGCTCCTGGGGACAGTTCCCATCTTTTCTACGTAAGGGTAATGTGAACACTTTGCTGGGAAAATGCTAAGACCTTAGCTGATTCTTGTACAAAAGGCAGATGAAGATGTTCCTTCTGAGAAGGCCACACACACACACACACACACACACACACACACACACACACCACACACCAAGTGGTGGCCCTAGGTTCAAGGGTTTCCAACATCCCCCAAAGATGCTGCCACAAACTATTCCCAAGAAGGGAATAACCAAAGCACTTAAGGGCCTTTATTATGATCCTAGAGATGGTGGAGATGGGCCCTTCACTAGATAAGGTCTTCAGTGTCACCAAACACACCCATGCCTTTGGGGCTGCTGGGCTGTTTCTCTCCTGGCTTGGCTATGGCACTTGCTGTGAGTAGTGGTCCATCAGGAAGGACATATCTAATGTCACCTCCTTGCATCCGACTTTGGGTTTCTCCCAGGAGCTCTGTCAGCCCCCTTCATTCTCTGGAAGCCAGCTAGTGTGACCCTGTCTCCCTCCATAGGGTCTCTGACCCTCATTACCTGCATCCTCTTCAGGTTGGGGAAGTCCCCGGGGGAGATCTGGTGCTCTCGTTCAATCCGGCCATAAATCTCAGCCAGGTTGTTCACCAGTTCCTTTTTTTTGGTGTCCTTCCCAAACACTGAGGGCATCTCCTTCTTCAAGGAGCTGATGATGTAGGCATGGACCTGACAAAGAGGGACAGAAAACAACCTCATGAGGAGCCCAGACTGACCCTTCTAGTCCTTCCTCCTGCCTCTGCTTCCGAGACCATTTCTCTCTCCATCCCTCACAGTCTCGGGAAGTAAGGTCACAGTGGTGGGGGTGAGAATGCTTCCATTGCTGATGCTGTAGAGCTGACCACAGTGGTACCTTCTGAGCACGAAGGCATCTAGTGCAGTGGTGAGGATTTTCACACTGTTTCTCTACATCGACATCAGCCTGTTCCATTTACAGATACAGAAAAAGGCACAGAGAAACTATAAAAGCATATCCTGAGGGTCAGTGGGGTGCGCATGGAACCAACCTGGCCATCTAACCAAGGGACTGCAGTTCTTACAACTGACCCCTACCTATGAACCTGTCTAAACTCCACCTTTAGGGGCCAGCCTTACCTTGGCCAGCCGGGCTCTCTTGATGAGGTCATTGAGCTTTCGAAGGGCAGCATTACGGGGGAGACTCTGGATGTCTCTGAACAAGTCCTGTTCTTCAGCTTCAAAGAGCTTCCGGTTGTCAGGAATGAGGAGAGGGTGGGACCAGAAGGAGCCAATGTAGACTCGGATCACCTCTGGTGTGTTCACGATCTTGCCCAGGGACCACATGAGGGCCCCGTAGACCCGCATCAGCTGCTGGGTCTCAATCTGGTCCGCCTTGTTCAGCACCACTCGCATCTTGTCCTCGTGGTTCTTGAGAGCCTTGATGACTTCTGAGAACTCGTCGGAGATGTCCAGCTTGTGGGCGTCGAAAAGCAGGATGATGCGGTCCACGCGCTCGGCAAACCATTCAAGGACAGCAGCAAAATCATACCCTGTGGCAGAGGCATAGTCATTGGGAGGAGCTTTGGGGCATGGACCTACAGTGAAGGGTCTGATGTAAGACAACACAGTCTTGGAAAGAGCCTGGCTCCTCGCATTTGGTTCTTTGACCCTGAGCAAATTTCTCTCTCTCTCTCTCCCTGCCTCTCCCCCTCCCTGTGTGTGCAGTAGTGGGAATCAAACCCTGAGTTTCATGCATGCTACACAAATGCTCTTCTACTGAGCTATAGCTCCAAACCTCCTTAGCATTTTCCATCTATAGAATGGTCATTAGTGAATATTTGGCCACTAGGATGATGGAGATGATGCTCAGTAAATGCTGGATTCTATTATAAGCATTGCTACTCCCACAAAGGACAGCTACTACCCAGTTATCGTCTTATTAAAGTCGGGAGCTAGAGTTCCTGCTGGAAAAAAAAAAAGTCTAGACATTGCTTTTGTGCCGAGATTTGGAGGTAGGGGTCTTACTGTCTTGCAGTAGCTCATATGGGCCTTGAACTTCTTAGAAACGCCAGTTTAGCCTCGCTCTTAAACACCGCCGCCATCCCCCACACCATACCCACCCCTGCCTCAGCCTCCAACGTGCTGAGATTCCAGTAGCGCATCCTCATCAGCTTGGGCTGGTTTCTGTTTTTTTTTTTTAAATTTATTTATTTATTAAAGATTTCTGTCTCTTCCCCGCCACCGCCTCCCATTTCCCTCCCCCTCCCCCAAGTAAGTCCCGTCCCCCCCCCCTCAGCCCGAAAAGCAATCAGGGTTCCCTGTCCTGTGGGAAGTCCAAGGTACCCCCACCTGGTTTATGTTTTGAATTTGAATAAAGACTCAGAAATTCTTTACAAGGTACCCTCAGCAAAACAGAAGATGCAAGGGACCAATGCAGATTCAAACCACGCCCATCCATGGTTGGGACGAACTCCTTACAGACCCAAGTGACTTATTCTCCTATAGTTCCCAGGCTTACTTCCTTCCTCGCTCCTCTGCTGCAGTCCCAAATTCCCAACTCCTGTTCTGTACGGAGTCCTTTCCTGAGGATGTGACTGGGCCGCTGGCAGCCACACCTTGTTATCCAGCCCTGAGCTACTTTAAATCCGCTGGTTCTGGGAACTCTAGAGCGCCTGTTCTGCTTAGTGCCAAGCAGCTGTGGATCATGGAGAAGGTCATGGTTTGGCTATGTAGTGGAATCCAAAAGACTCATATTGGGAGGACTGGTTGCCAATTTACTTTAGGAAGTGAATGGATCATGAGGTCTCTGAGACAATACCTCAAGTCTGATCCAGGAGGTTTGGATAGGCATTTATCCCCCTCCCCTCCTCTCTCTCTTTCTCTCTCCGTGTGTCTGTCTGTCTGTCTGTGTGTGTGTGTGTGTGTGTGTGTGTGTGTAGATATATACACATCTGTATTCATGAATGTGGATGCCAGAGGCCAACCTTGGGAAGGTCATTCTTCAGGAACCATCCTCCATGTTTTTCAATACATATTATTGTATCGAAATAATACAATATTCTCATTGATCTGGAACTCACCAAATGGGCTATGCTGGTTTCCCAGAAAGCCACAGGAATTCCCCTGTCTCAGCTTCCCCAGTGCTGGGATTATCAATATAAGAGGACACCATGGCTTCTATGCCCAGCTTTTATTATGTGGGTTGCAGGGCTCAAACTCGGGTCCTCATGTTTACATAACTAGCACTTCATAAACTGAGCTACATCTCCCTAACAATAATTGGTACCCATTTCCCTCATGTAATTAGGGACCTCTCCCTGTGGCCCCAACCTGAACAAAGTAGCCTTATCCTCCTCCATCCCCACTGCACCCAGGGTGCACATGGTAGGTCCTCCATCTGCATCTGCTGCACACAGTATACACAGAATCCTGTTCTGCCCAGGGAAACAGAGAACAGCGCATCTCTGGGCCTTAATCCTCCACTCTCTAAACCAGGACCCACCAATGCCTTGACCACAGGGTTGTGAGGATCAAATCTAAGAGAAGCAGGCTCATGACCTTGGCCAAACACCAGGTCCCTTTATAGAGAACTCCTCTGTGTATGGCCACAGGATGGAGCTTGCTCTGCGGGTCTGTGTTTCTGTAGGATCACTGACCTGGGTGTGTTCCCTGTAGTTTCTACTCAGTTATTAACTTGATACGCTGCCCAATAGAATCCCCTCACTTATCCTTGGTCTCTGTTTCCGGGATGGATGATCTCTGCACTTCCTTTCTTGGTTTACAGTTCTCTGTGTCTTCATCCAGAGGTGTGAGGATGGGGAACACAGTCATACGGAGACGAGACACAAGAATGCCTTTATATCTACGGAGAGGGAAAGGCTGAAGGCCGCTGCCTCTGTGCCCTGGGCATGCCTACAGGAAGCCTCCTCCAATCTGCTGACAAGCAGATGGCTTCCGGGAATTTTTCCTATGATGGGATGAGCACAGAGGCCTCCTATTAATCCTCCCACTTCTGCAAATTCGGCAGGCTCTGGTAGCTGCTATCGACTGACAAGCAGGGAGAAGCCTCCTCTGTGGTGTGCGGTTGGGAAGACTGTGAGACTGAAGTCATGCCTCTGCAAGCTCCCCTCAATGCTCACCCTTCTAGCTCCTGACTACTTGGGGGCCCGTGCAACCTCTAGGATGAATGTGAGGTGCTTCCATAGCCTGGACTTATAGGTAACCCCAGAAATAGAGGTACAGGAAAGGCAAAGACTGGACACAGTCAGGAGGGGGACACAGAGCTATCTTTCCCATTTGTTTTCTGAATGGCCTTCTGCAAGTCTGAACCTCTTTTACTTGGATGTAAAAAAAAAATATGGATAGTAAAAACTGGCTTAATGGAGGACCCATGGTGTAGCCATGAAAAGCAGGCCTGATACTAGGAGGAGGAGAGAACTCAGTCTAGATGGAGACCACCCTAATGCCCAGGATGCACAGTGTGCCCACGGCCACTGCCTGATACACCCCTTTAACTCAGGAATGGCTCCGAGACCCTCAGTAATGATTCCTGAACACTTTCAATAGCCCATGGTCTCTGAATCATAGGGTGGAGAGACAGAATAGTGGTCCTTCCTGAATTCCTCTTGGAATGTCTGCCGGCACCCAGAGATCCAACGGGTAGGCTCCAGGCTAGAGTCTGGGAAGCCTGCAGGGATCTGCAGCTCCCGCCCCTGGGCTCCAGGGACGGGGAAGAAAGCATTTCTAATTAATGCCAGGCAGGAGGAAATCAATGAGACAAACTCAATAAGCAGGGCCACTCCTTAATAACCCAGCACTTCCCTCGCTGTCTGATATACACTGCGGTGTTCTTTGCATTTTCAGCTGCAAAACAAAACTCAGTGGAGGATCTCTACAGCCTTCCATCACCCAGAGTAAACAGGGTGTACGCATCGTGCACAAGAGGGAGTACAGACATAGAGAGGTGAGCTAAGGGCATTCCAAAGTACACAGCCAGACCAGATGCTAGCAAACGAAGGCTTAGAACCCAGATCCACACTCTCTTAGCTCTTAGTCCTGGGTGAGCCTGCAACCCAGAGGCCGGAGGCTTACTTATAATGGACATATAGCATACCCCTCCCCAAATCTGTTAAGTCCTAGGGTTGCTTAAAAAAAGAGGGAGATACAGAGACATGCAGCATCAAATGGGAGCCTTTGGCTGACAATACGGAACAATACCCTGGACACTTCCAGGAAACAACCACAAAAAATGGTCCAAGCAGACCCATCACAGGCCTCAGGTGCCACGAAACTGGCAGTGAGGCCTTCAGAAGGCATCAGGGCCCAGCTGCTCTGAGCATGCATGGGTTTAGCAGCTCATCCTCTAAGGAGCCTGGGAACTCCTCAGTGCTCAGGGGTAGGCTAGGGGTGTAGGCTACAAGCTGTATTAGCACAGACCACTGACGTCTCAAGAGGAAACCTGGAGAAGACAAGTTAGCCCCCATTCCTGCCTAGTCTTTCCCAGTAGGTTTTGGGAATGTACTGAACACTGAGGACTGGGACTCGGGAGACCAGGACTCACATCCCAATTGTGTCACCTGCTCTGAGCCTCTTGAGCACTTGCTTGGGCCAGGGTCTCCATCTATGTGCAGTCTTGGGTTGAGAGCATGAAGCCCCGGGGTGGCTTTCCCAGTGTGGAACTGGCGGACTCAGTCTGAACACAGTCAGGAAATGTGCCTTCCATGTGAGAAGGCATGATGCCTTCCAGCGCCCTCTGCACACTGCTACATCCGTGCTCCTTCCCGGTAATGAACCAGGGCCAGCCACATCCTGCCCCTTCCAGGAACAGCTTTCTGTCTGCCTTTCCTGCCTCCTCCAGAGACTCTTCTTTCAGAACAGAGTGCAAGCTTGAAACTTCACGGACTTGTCTTCTCTATAGACATACACCCCAATCCCCAGCCTGGACAGAAGGCCACGCTGAAGCAAAGACCACACTGTTTGACATTAGCCTAGGGCAGAAGGCTCATCCCAATGATGGCCAAGGCTCTGGGAGCGCCGAAGAGCAACTGCCAGAGGTTGGGCAGTCTAGGCTAAGGTTGTCTCTGTGCTGACTTGATTCTAACTCTTCTGCTGAGCCATAAGCCCTGAACCAGGCAGAGGCATGGTGAGGGGACTGTGGGCTTAATCAGCAGGACCATCTGAGGGGACCTGGCCCACCTGGGCTTGAAGAGGGTGGTAGGAAGTATCCAATCTACTACGGCCAACCCTATAAGTGAAGGAAGTCTGGGTAATCAACTGTAGATCGGTGTAGACACTTGTGTGTGGGTGTCAGGAGGTGTGAGGGAGGCAGGGTGTGGGTATAGGTATGAAGAATGTGTAAGTGGGGGTGGCGAAGTCTGGAGGGGCTTAAACTGGAACTCTGGCTTTATGGCTAACCACAAGGAAGGATGGGAGAGCCTGTGTACCTAGACAATGTTCCTGAATCGGGTCCCATCACCACCACCACCACCTGGATCACTGGGGTATCTGCTCTCCTCCCGGACTCTGGTTTTTTTTCAGGGTGCTGAAATCAGAACTGCTCTGGGCTGGTGGCAGCCCCAACCCCAGCTTCTCTCTATCTCTGGCTGCTCTGGCCAGCAGCTGCACCGGTCTGGACTCAGAATGGCAGAGAACACCCTAGCAGAGTCATTGTTTTGTTCAGAGAAGGGAGGAGTCTGATGCGGTGTCAGTTCTTGGAAGGAGGGGGTGGAAACGTAATCAAGATCGCCAGTGCCCAGTGTGTGTAGCGCGGGTCTGAAGACAAAGGCAGGGGAGGACGTGGAGAACGGAAAAGAACGAAGCAGGGCAGGAAGGTAGAAGACACCAGTCGCTGAAGATGAGGCTGCATTGTGCATCTATCTGCACAGGCCCAAATTCAAGGGTGATGAATCACACAGCTGACCGTGGTCATGTAACGTGCAGCCTCGGAGAGCCTCTAAGGAGGGAAGAGGTCTGCAGACTTTGTCATAAGGCTCTACGATGCATTTCCCTGAGACGTCGGGGGGCTTTGTCAGGCCACAGCCCTGAACTACAAGTCCAAATCTAGTGCCCTTGGGCCCCTCAAGGCTGTCCTCTCCAGGCCTGCTTGCAGGCTAGGTTGTGTTGCCCTAGCAGGTGCATGAGTTATCCTGCAAGATGTGGACTGCCCTGTGAGCCTTACATCCTTTAAGGCCTAGACTCAGACCCAGGGCTCTGGGGGTGCAGACTGACTGTTCCTCATTCCACCAGAGCCCAGAGTTAGGGGCCAAGGGATCAGGCTTCCTGGACCCCATCACAGGTCACCAATTATAGGCACTGGGAACATGGTTTTCCAGATGCCCTCTTGATTTAGCTGCTTCCTTCCCCTCTCCTTTCCAGGTTTTACCTCCTGGGATAGGGGCGGGGGTCCTGCTCAGATATTTCATGATGCCTCACTCCCAACACGGCTTTAGAAGTGGGGCTCTAGGAAGGCCTGTCCGGGTCTCACCTAGAGAAGGCTATTTCCCAAGGGTTCTCTGGCAGTCTCTCCCATTGCTTGGGCTCACACACAGCTACAGTGTGGCCCCAGGGAGCTGAGCCTTTCTATCCTCACGTTTCCTAAAGGAGAGTGACTTCTAGCAGGAGAGAAAAGCTCAGGACCTTCCCTGGCACTGCTAAGCCTCAAGGATCCACAGCCATGGGCTGTATGCCTGTTGGTCCGTGACTATCTTCTCTGAGGCTTGGGTGTAAATGGGTACTGAGTTACACAGGCCATGCCCTTGAGGAAGAGGTTCTTGGATCCTGCTGCGGTGGCAAGATGGACAGACAGATCTACGTCAGGAAGGAGTCACGGAGTGAACGGTGCTGAGGCACATGCCCCAGGGAGGAGGCCTGTGTCACCTGAGGCCACTTCCCCAGAGAGCCTTGCCAGTACAGGGCTGAACCTTCCCGGAGGCAGACTTCTGAGTGCTAATTTGTCCCAGTCCAGGCTGCGAGCACCAGGTTTGGCGAGAGTACATCTCGTCTGGTTTTCCTGCTAAAAGCACGGCACAGAAAGGCAAGGCCAGTGGGGTACTGGGGTACAGACCTGTAACTTAAGAGGATCAGGAGTTCAAGGCCAGCCTTCAAAAATCCTAAACCCACACTGAGAGGGTAATGGACTACTCAGAGGTACATAGCAGATACGACAGGAGAGGCCAGGAGTAGGTGACCAGCTCAGCACCCGCCAGGAACGCCGCTTACCTCGACTGATCCTCTGTTTCTCCCCGGAGAGGATCCCTGGTGTGTCAATGACACTGATGCTCTCCAGCACGGCGTTGGGCAGCTGGGCACACACAAACCTGCACGGATGGTGAGAGGAAGGCTACGGTGAGCTACTGAGGCACCTTGCTGGCTCAGCTTCAAGGCTTCAATCACCGGACCATCCCGTGGGCCACAGGGTACCAGGTCACCTGCTGTGGGCATGCTGGGTATGCCGGCTAATCCCAGGAGTGAGTTATGGTTCTCTTGCCACCTATCATATCCTGTTTTGGAGTGCTTGGTACCCAGGGTGCTTGATAAAATGTTGGCTGCTCCACAGTGAAATCCTACCTCTCGTATGTGTCCAAAGCCTTGTTTTAAATGCCTGTGGCTTCAAGTCTTTAATGAGCTCTGGCCAGCCACTTCCTTCCTTGAAAGGCTTCACCTCGCTTGGCCAACTCCTGATGGCCAATCAGAACTCTACCTCCTCCAGACAGCGCTTCCAGTCACGGGGCAGGAGGAGCCTGGAGATCTGCACATAGTCAGGGTATGGTAACCCCCTTCTGATTTGATCACTCTGCATCCCCCCCGCCCCCCATCACTGTGCATCCTACATGTGTTCTGCAAGCCTTATGTAGCATGTGATAGTAAGCAGATGGATGCAGAACAGAAGATCACAAACCCACAGGAAGCCATGCTGAAAGTGACTGCGGGTATGCCTGGAGATCTGTTCTTTGAAAAACTCCCCAGGTGACCCTGAGGCAGTCTGGGCTCATGCTCTGAGCCCTTGCTGTCAAGAGTCCTATGACAAACCAACTTTGATCCCTGCCTCTGGTGGAGGCAAAGATGCTCGCTATGCCCGGCAATGACAAGCCAGGGTGCTGAGGTGCCAGCATCCCAAAGCCAAATGTTTGTTAGAACCTGGCAGAGAGATGGTTTGGGAGGAGGGTTTCTTGGGGGAGGTAGAATTGGGGCTGTCCTTGAAAGATGAGTCATACCACCCAGGAGTGTGCTATTTGGGCAACTGCAAGGCTAGCTCAGCCAGACATTACTCTAGGATGACTGTCTAATGGTACCCAGGAGGAGCAGCGATGGGTGCTGACGAGGTGTGAAACTCTATAGCCAGCGCTGGACTGACGACTGGTCACTACTGGCAGGCCCCAGTTGGCCCTATCAGCCTCTGTCTTAGTGGTGTGTGCACACTGTCACCCATCCTCTAGTTAGAGGGTCCTACACTAAGCCCCTTTCTTTGGTCTCTCCCTGCTTGTATTTTTCTCTCTCGCTTCAGGTTCTTCTTCCTGGAATCCCTTTGCTCACCCTTCCGGTGTCATTTCCCCCCATCGCTTCATGCCCAGGTCAAATGCCGGCTTTCCCACATCACCTTTGGGACTACTCTCCCCTGCTGTGAAACAGGCAGCTTATCTTCCGGAAGGAACCCAAGGATCAGACTGAGTCTTACTTCTCTTGCTGAGCCCACCACGCTGCTGCCTCCAAGGACTAGAGTTTCCTGCGCTAAAGCGAGCACTCCACCCCCTCGTGCCATGCCTGGGGGATGGGACAGTCCTTAAGACAGCTGCTCTGCTTTCTTTCCTCAGTCTGTTTTGCCAGAGCCGCACAGTATAGGTCCTTGTGGCCAGGAACCCTGAAGGAACCTCACCTGTGTCTGCTCTTTCCAGTTAACATTTTCATCCCCAAAAGGGAAGCAAAGCTTTAAGGGGAGACGGACTCACCTTCTGTGTACTCCCCAACCCCACAGTGCCTTCACATCTAGGCTTTTAATGAATCATTTTCAGAATATTTTAAATTATAGTTTTTTTCCTACAGTTTAAAAAAGAAAGCGATTCAGCAAGACGGACAATGAGGCTGCGTCTTCCCTCACCCTTCTCCCCCTCAATTCCAACTGTGAAATCCACAGTCACAGGTACCCGCTCTCTAGATGCTTTTCCTCTCTCAGGTTATCTTTCTATGTTTGCAGGAGGAGAGCGGGGCATCCAGAGAGTCTGTGACTTGCATTTCGTCATCTTATGGATGAAGACAGCAGTACTGAAAGAGGTTATGTGTTGTTAACCAGACTTTTCATGCATATGCGTCCTTGGTTTCAAAAGTCGAATTAATCATATAGTCAGTGGGCCCTCCTGGGTTTGGTTCATGACATAAAGGCACTCCTCCCTCAGGAATGTGCTGGCTACTATGGTAATTACATAGATCTGTTATCATAACTGACCACATGCCATTACACAGAGATACTATTATCACTGTAAGCAGTTATCCTGAAGGAGCTTAACCGCCAACCTTGGCCCTCCCATCTCTTTTGATAACCGACTCTCGGGTACCCCAAGTTCTTCTTTCCTTTCACCTGGAAGCTAGCTCATCTTTGCCTCTGAAGAATGAAGCTCCCTCGCTGACTTACGGTCGGTCACTCGCTACAAACTGAGGTACCCGAAATTGAATACATCATGTCTCCCACCCTCAGACGCCCCAGTTCACCCCCAGCTGGCTCACCCTTCTCATCCCTTTCAACACATACTATTCTGTGTTGTAGTATTCCATGTGCCCTCTCCCCCTCTACCTGGATCAGGCCTCTGTCCCTCAGCTCCAGGTAGCGGAAACTCCGGGTCCCAAGGACCATACCTCAGTGCACCACCCATCCATTTATGCAGATTCAACTTTCCTTTCTAAGAAACCATGCCCACCTCCTGAGGATCCTCCCTACTAGACCAACTCCCCACAAGTGATTTTTGTCCCCCGGGAAACATATCTTGCCAGTTGGCATTCCACACTGTCCCACACCAGGTCATCTGTCCCTTCTTGTCTCAAAGTACTGTAGGTTACAGGTCACTACAGGAAAGTTTACAGGATAAGAGATATTGAGAATGTTTCTGGGCAACAGGCCTCAATTTCCAGAGATGGAAATGCTATAAATGACCCATTTCTCTCACTGAAAAATTAGGAAATAAGTTTAAAGATTAATTTAAAATTCTTTTAAGTATGTGTTTCTATGTGTGTCTGTGCTGGGTGGTGCTGGACCCCCTACAGTGAGCTGCTGGAGGTCAGTGCTGTGATGGAACTTGAGTCCTCTGTTCTTAACCTCTGAGCCATCTTCCCAGTCCAGGAATCGAATTTAAAAACAAAAAGCAGGAAATCCACACAGTCACTAGCTGTCCTCCATAACCTACCATTTCTGTTATTTACTGTGCACTGACACTAGCCATCCTAACCATAACCTACCATTTCTGTTAGACACTCTACCCAGTGTTCAGACTCTCACTTGCCTCTGCTTCAACCCGGCCAACGATATTATTGTTGTCCTGTATTACACGTGAGCAAAGTGAGGCACACAAGAGCTTGGTAACTTGTCTAAGATCCACAGTTCAAGGTGGGATCTGATTCCAGGCTTATCCAAAGCCAAAGTCTAGGATCTTCTCTTTTACTTGAAATATCTCCAATAAGAAAGAGTAGCCTTGAAATGAAGTGCAGAGTACATGTAAAATGGATTAACCATTGACAAGCACAGCCAGGATCCTATCCACTCCAGTTGGGAAGATTTATAACATGAAGGCTGAGATTAGCTTGCTATGCACTCTCTAGAGCAGTGGTTCTCAACCTGTGGGTCGCAACCCCTTGGGGGATTGAATGGCCATTCACAGGGGTCGCCTAAGGCCACTGGAAAACAGATATTTACATTATGATTTATAACAATAGCAAAATTACAGTTATGAAGTAGCAACACAGATAATTTTATGGTTGGGGTCACCACGGCATGAGGAACTGTATTAAAGGGTCACAGCATTAGGAAGGTTGAGAACCACTGGTGTAGGGCTTTCTCCACTCAAAGCCTCATGGTGACTCTGAACTCATCGTAGGGGAGGGAGGTGACCTGCCCAAGGTCACACAGGGAGCTTAAGAGAACTACTGGTCAAACTCAAGGCCTCTCTAGCTTTCTTTCCAGGTAAGAACATTCAGGAACAAGAAAGAACCTTCTAATGCTTCCTTCTGCTTGGACAAATAATCCCAGGCATAGTATAAGCAAGTCCTGGAAAACATGTAACTTCCCTTTGATGCTTTTACTGGGACAGGGCAGGGTAGAGCCATGTGAATCATGACACTGTCAGATCTCTCCCTACTCAGTAATTAGGTGGCCTCAGCCTAGCACTCAGAGCTGTCAAGTCCCACAGCCCATGACGATGACTCAATTACACTCAGGAGACAGTCAAGCGGCTAGCATAGAAAAGACAGTCTCCCAGAACCACACTCCTCTCCTTTCACCCCTGTGCTTCAAAAAGAAGCAAAGAACCCACCCAGCATTGTGCACCCATCCTGCCCACCCCCAGCACTTGGACTCACCTGTTCAAGAAGGCATTGCCAAAGGCATTGAGCTTTCGGAAGGGTTTCTTCGGATCCACCACCAGGGCGTTGCCGGGGATGATGCCCTCTACGTCTCCTTGCATCACCGCTATGAAGGAATCAGTGGTCGGCTCGGGCCCAATCCTCATGCCTGGGAAATCCTGTTCCAGCAGGTACCTGCAGGAAAGGGTGCAGTCATGTAGGCTTGGTGCTCATAGATGGTCCGTTCGTCTACTACGCAGCTGCATAGACACAGGTCACGGGGCAGGGACAGAGCCAGAGCAAGCACTGTGCAGAGGAGGTGGGATCTAGCTGAACTCCACACACTCAATTTTCTCAGTCCTTTCCCCCTTCTTGACTCAGGAAGGGATGAAGGAAAGCCAAGGCTTGGACTCTGAAGCAACCATGGGCTGAGGTCAATCCCTAGCTAGGGTACTGCAGAGTTCACAAATCAAGGTTACTGTTGAAACTCACACACACAGGCAAAGAATCAGACAATCCCAAGGCTCTCCTGGCTTCCTGGAGATCATTAGCTATATACATGACTAGTTATTTAATATAGAGCATTTATACGTGATAGAATGGAAAAGCAGCCTGAAGGGTAAACTATGCAAAATGAATTGCAGCCCATCCTAGATTTTTCTTGTGTGTTCTGTAGAAATAGTCCATTTATAAACATGCTACAGTTTTTGTGATTAAGCATACTTTCACATAGATGACCGAAGGTTTTTTCTTACTTTTATTATTTATTGTGTGTGTTGTAGTCTTATTTATGTATTTGTGTGTGTGTGTGTGTGTGTGTGTGTTGACATGTGTCACTGTGCCTTTGTGAAAATCAGAGAATGCTTTAATGAACTGGCTCTTGCCTTCCACCGTGAGTCCCGGGATGAAACTCAAGCCATTAGGCTTAGTGGCAGGAGTCCTTCCCCTCTGAGCCATCTCATTGGCCAACTGGAGTTTTTAAGAGTTTATACCTTCCCTTCTTGTCACGACCCAATTGGCGCAGCTTCCAGCATATGACCACATTCAAGACACCCTGTGTTGGACTTCCACAAGACCCCTTCCCTCCCTTGTGTCCTTAGGCTTCCGGGAAGTTTCCATACCAAGATTTCAGTTTGTGGAGGGATTCTTGGTTGGAAAGTCTAGCTTTGCATTCTTTGAAAGGGTTTAGGTTTTATCGTTTCTACCTGAAGTGGGATCAAAATTTATCTTTTAACTACTGATGTTTTTCTACTGCACCTGACACCCGCATATACACACATACCCTGCCCCCAACTGGCGCAGACTTAGTAACCACAGAGGATGTTGTGCAGCCTCTAGGTGGGAATTTACATACTCTGCAAGATTATGCAGATAATAGCTATGCAGGGGCTTCCTTTTATGCGTAATACATCTGGGAGACAGCCCAAATTTACTTTACCCTTGTTAATCACTATGTGTAATCCCGTGATGTGAATTATTACAAATACTTCTTAGTGAAATTCTTCTTGCTATCTAACAGCAGTTTCTATTGTCTAGAAGGGGGAGAAACGGCTGTTCGGGAATTGACACACCTCAGTGAAAGAAGGGAAGCGGAGGAGGGGTGGTTGCCTATTTTTAAGGGGGTGGTTTTTAACGCCTTCCCTTTCTACTTCCTGCACCTGATTCTGCTCACTCATGACCCCAAGCAGGCCCCTTCCCCGATCTGAGCCTCAAGGTTTGTTCCACTAGGAGACTGGTCAATGTGATCTCCGGAGGGCCTTCTGTTTCCTGGGCCACTGTGCCAGGGAAGCACTCTGGGTGGTATCATCTGCAGCCATTTATTCTCATCCCTTGATGAAGAGCACTTTTCGAGGGGGCAGGAGGATAGTTGCTTCTGAAATTCTGGTCACGCATGGCATGACGTTCTTCTTTAGGCCTGGGCAGTAAGAGCCCAAGGCTACCTGCTTCCCCCGCTCTGCTGCCCCTGGGAGACGCTAAGAACAAAGGCACATGCTTACCCAGGGAATAGTCAACACCACCACCAGACAACAGAGCCCTTTAGGATCCCAGCACAAGTTTGGACACAGACACTGGGAGACTGGACTGAATACAACTGCATGAATGTGTCCTGGGGTAGGATTGGCCAGACAGAGGATAGTCCCGGAGCATCTTTTGAGAGAGCCAAGGGACACTGCCTGAGAAACACAGACCTACAAAGTGAGTCCTCAGGAACAAGGAGCAACGAAATTAACTTTATGGTTGGGACAGAGGGGTCACCACAACACGAGGAACCGTATCAAAGCATTAGAAATGTAGAGAACCACGGCTTTAGAAGATTCCCAGATGATTCAAACACATGGCCCAGGGCATTATGGGATGCTCCGTATCAACGCTATCATTTTCCTGGTAATAACCATTGACATGTAATAGCAATTCTAAGTCACATTTGATTCTGAAACTGACAATGCTGTCTCTTTTGTCCCTGTGGTGCCACTTGAGGTAGTCACTGAGGAAGCAGAAGAGTGACGTAGCTTTTCTCAGAGTAATAGGGCTGGGGCCAACCTCCAACCAGTGAGACATGGTGTCACCCTTCTACCATCTTGGATGCTGCTGAGAAATCACTCCCCAGAAAGCTGACCAAGGCCTGAGGAAAGACAAAGCAGCTCCAGAGCCAGAGGCCCAGCTTCCCTGGCCCAAGCCTGAGCCCCCTGCCATCCTTTGCCTCTCCGGGTTTCCTGCTGGCTTCCTCCGGGTCCCCAGTGGGCTCTCCGTGCCTTCAGGAAGCGTTCAGAGCAGCACTCTACTCCACAGTTCCCAGGCGGTTTAAGCCGGGTTGCTATGGACTCGGTCCCCAAGGAGCCTGTGGGAGCAGCTGCTGTAGCCCCAATCCCAGAGGAAGTTGTTGATTTCTCAGAGCCTGGAGTGCTGTTGTCCAAGAGGCGAATTAGACAACAGCAGTATTAGGAAGCTTTGTAAGTCTGGGTCACCTCGGGAAGCCCCTCATACCTCGACTAGCCACGCCCAACAACTGGGAATATAAAGGAAGGATTTCTCCCAATCAGAGAGTCACTTTGAGTTCTTGCATTGGAACTGTGATGAGAATAAACATGGAAGTCACACACAGGGCTGTACTTTCTGCTTTCCTGGTGACCTTTTTCCCTTGGGGACTTCCTGAATGAGACAGGACCATGGGCTTTCTAACTACGTGGGCTATGGCTTTTAGAAGGCACTCAATTTAAACACTGGCCTCAGCATCTCCCACTACCACACAGAGTATCATAGTTTAGCCTTACTGCTTACCTGCAATAGGCTAGACATTGTTCATCTTACTTCATATCCATATGCACTAGGTTGGGAGTGTTATGTCCTCCTTGTCAAATGTACCTGGGAAGTAAATCTACCTTGAAGGCTGTTCGGAAGGTTTGATGGTCACAATCATTACACATTTAATTGGTACCAAATAGTGAGTGTCTCATCTCATTTTAAAGGGAATGAGACAAAACATGCATTACAGATAGCCTAGGATTTGAACGTGGTATTTGGATGTAAGAACCCATGCCTTTAATCACTATACCTACCATCTCCTTCTATGGCTTAAGCCTCCTCCAAGAAATGGAGCCACCTCTTGGGACAGGCCAAAAATGATGTCCTGCCCCATGTGGAACTAGAAACAGAAAGTGAGAAAATATACAAAAGTCTACGATTTGGCAAGAAAGCTGACTAACGTCGGGGCCTGAGGGAAAAGGGGAGGCTTTGGGACCCGCAAACCCAGGAATACATGTGTCTCCAGGAACTCAGGTCCTGGGTGCCCACTCAGTCTCAGTGCCTGCAGGAGGCACACAAAAGTTGTTGCTACCGGCTGACAGGAGCAGGTCCTGGTCCTGTGGTTTTCACAAGGACAATTAGGAACAGTAAGGCCAGATGCTCTGTGGGAATCCATGTGCTGACTTGGGACAGTTGATGTTGGCAGGAAAGTCCTGTGCAGCCCGTGGAGGAGGTCAGTATAGTGGGTGTAGATGGGAACTCTGGGGACAACTATGTTACAGCAAGGCCGCTTATTGGTTCCTGAAATAATCACACAGAAACTGTATTAATTAAATCACTGCTTGGCCCATTAGCTCTAGCTTTTTATTGGCTAACTCTTACATATTAATTTAACCCATCTCCATTAATCTGTGTATCGCCACGTGGCTGTGGCTTACCAGCTAAAGTTTCAGCACATCTATCTCTGGTGGTGGCTCCATGGCATTTCCTTGACTCTGCCTTCCTTCTCCCAGCATTCAGTCTAGTTTTCCCTACCTACCTAAGTTCTGCCCTAATAACAGGCCAAGGCATTTTTTTTAATTCATTGACCAATAAAAGCAGCACATAGACAGAAGGAACCCCCATACCACAAATGAACTGAAAGGATGGAAAGATCCATTCTGAGGCAGCCTCAAAAATGTCCAGAACGAAGAAAGCAGCAGCAGCAATGAGCTATATTCTTTAAAAGGCAGCTCAGATTCCAGCCCTGGGAAACATGCTGTACTCAGCAGATGAACAAAGGGCAACATGCCCAGCCCAACAGGTCAGCTTCCTGCAGAGTTACAGAGCCATGGCCTGAGGTGGCTGGGCCTGCTGGCCTCTTGTGCTCACGTGACCCAAAACTTGCTCACCACATATGGGTCTGGGGAAACACAGAGTCTAAGGAGGCCACCAGAAGGCCCAGAGGCTACAGTCAGAGAACTGGGTGGGATAAATTCTCAGAGACATTTGGGTTTGTCTTATGGCGCCGGGTACCCCTCACACAAAGCCACCACTGTGTCCAGAAAGGAGAATCTATTGAGGAATCTCACGCACTGCTTCCTTACGGGGAGTGGGACAGATCGCCTCTGTGGCTGGGTAAAAACATTCCCACAGCTGGCTAATAAAAGAAGACTAAATCCAAGCCTGGCTGGGACGAGCAGAGACAGGGACACATGAAATGAGGAGGGACAGAACACTCTGAGGCTGTTCCGTGTGGCCACCCCACGTCATCAGCCTTACCTGCTCCATGGCATGACATCAGTTCAGTTTTGAAGTGGAGTCAGCCGAAAACTAGCATGTCTAGTTGGAGGTCCCACACACCGACAGGATTTTGGTGCCTCCTCTCCTTTACCATCCAATGCAAGATAAATAAAAGCTAAACCATAAAATATGTGTGGGGAAACTCAAAACAAATCTGATTTTTCCCCATG